TCTAACATCAAAAACATACACTTGAACTTACTGAGTAAATTTTTGGACTCTTTCCCCACAGCATTGCATTTAGAAATTAGGCATAACAAGAATTCATCAACAAAGCAGGGGAAGTGTGTGCAAATGTGAATTGGAGGAATTCATAAATTAGATAAAGTTTGAGTTTCTTAGAGTGAAAAAGAATAAGGTTGTTTGGCTGCTAAGCAAATCTTGTCCGAATGCCCAAGTTCTGAGCTGGACAAGTCCCAGCAGTCAAGTTGAGGAGACGTTTAGTCTCCTATTAGTGGAAGATCAGTGTACTCCTGCAGTGGGCCTAGACTTTAGCATGGAGGACATGCTCATGAGAGCAAAGGCACTGCTGTATGCAGGGCAGCCAGTTTTGTGAAGACCGTATGGGGTACAAGGTGTGCCCTAATATGGATCTCTCTGCTGTGATGCTTCTTTTTCCCTTACAGTAAGCTCCATGCTCTCACTCGAAAGAGCAGAACAGGAAAATCCCACTGCTTCTAGAAATCAGTGGCATAAACACAGGCTGATGAATGTCAACTCTTCTGTCCAGCGGAAGTGGTCTGCGATGCTTATCTGTATGATATGCTTAGGTGGAATAGAGGCTGCAGCATTTCTGCCCATCTTTATGGTTATGTGCTGCTGCTGATGGGCTCAGAAGTGTTCTGGAGTAAGTTGATGTCTGTCTAAAGCTCTGAGCCACTTCCAGATAGATTAGGGTTAGGAGCAGACCTTACAAAATTTAGTGAACTAACATAGTCACTAATCAAGGGCAAGATTCTAATGATGTTAAAGGATGCCAAGATGCAGGGCCTTCTTTGAAAAACAGAAATGATAAAAAATAAAATAAAATAAGAAAAAAGATTAATTTCAAAGGTCATGTGTAGCAGATAGCGGAGAGACAGTGAGAACAGTGTTTTTTCTAAATCAGAAAACAATTGTCAAATATGCTGCCTATTTCTGGGTATTGCTTTACTGCATGAAGCAGCAGGACAAAGCAAGGTGTTGAAATCTTGCAGTCTAGTTGCTGCAGGGATATTCTGTGATTAATTTATTTTTGAACAGGTTGATGACTGGAAAAAGATATGATTACATGGGTCAGAAGCATGATCATTGCTATGAAAAATTATTCTATGTTCTATGTAAATCTTGTCTCTAGGAGGAAAAAAATCTCATGTTCCATGACTGAAGTAACATTTCGCTACTAGTAAAAAGCTACGTCTTTATTTAAATAGTGGAATTACAGCTTTAGTTGAAATGTGTGAAAGGCTTCATATAGATTAGACTTCACTGCAAAACGATTTTTCTTTTTATAAAACATATCTTTGTCAGTATTTCAGGCTGAATTTATTGTAATTTATTGTAACAGCTACTTATCTTTTTTCCTAATAATTCCTTAAATCATATATTTTCCATTTCTGCACATCATTATTTAAGTATTGAGTACTGAAGTGCATAATATTACTTTAAAAAATCTAGTTGGGTGACAAGAATTAATTACAATTCTAAATTATTCCATAGATTTTCTATTCTACAGTAGGAGTTCTAGTGAAATGCTGGCACTAGGTAATCAGCTGGTGCTAATCTGTGTCTTCAGCTTTGAGTAGCCCAAAGAAGATTTGATGTTTTCTTTTCTGCAATAAACAAAAATAGCTTCCAAACTGTCAGAAAATAACTGTAGTTCTTAAGGGCTAATCATTACCAGCCTTTGTCATGGGCTTCTAATTGTTTCATGAATTCTGCTTCAATCAGGGAAAAGTGTGCTTAAGTGCCTATAAAAGTTTTTATGCTTCTATGATTTTCTCCCTCCTCATCTTCCTCCTCCCACTTTATGGCTTTATTCCACTGTCTCTGTTACTAAGCAACACTGCACGTGGTGCTCATGCAAATTACTGCAAACTCCCTGATAGCAAAGCAGACTAACATCAGGTTAATTTCCTGATTAATATGTGCTGCAAGAAGTGCTATTCACAACAATAGAAAAGCGGCGGGGGAAAGGCAGCTAGGAAGCAGCTTTGTAGTATAAGGAAATCTTTTGTACTTTTTAGGTCAATTTGTCTGTGTCTACTACAATCCATCCAAGCAGATGGTTGACTTTTTGGTTCCATCATTTTGGTCTCATCTGTTTTGCATTGAGCAGCCCCTGACTGCACTGTGTATATCCGATGACAGTGCAAGTGGTTGAATCGTGGTTGAATGCAGTCGTTCAATCTGTATGCAAAGGGAGATAAAGCGATTGTTTGCATGCTGATCTCGTCCTGATTTTAGAATTAAAGGCAGGACATGAGACTTCTCAGAACTGAGTGTTGTCTCTTATTTAAAGCCAATGGTCAAATTCCAGCTGACACCACTGTGAATGGACTCCAACCAGTGTTCATGTTTGTTTGATAAATGTCTTTGATATGCCATAGTACCACTCCCCATAGCTCTTCCATGACAGCTGACTGCATATTTTTGTCTTTTCCTCTTCTTAAAAATGCAAAGTCTCATTTAACAGACTGGGGACTATAACCATGTCCATGCAGCAATACCATTTTAGATGGGGATAAAGCAGGCAGATTTTAGCACTGTGCTACAGAAATTTGAAAAGCGATGTTCAGACTGCCCTGTTTGCTCACTGGAAGAGCTGTGACAGATTTATGGTTGGTGTTTTCAGAACTGCTTTGACTTCTCTAAATCAACATCAAAGTTCACTAGTAAAAGGTAGAAACTGAAAATTTAAGTATAGAATATTAGCGGGTTTAATATGTAGCTGAAAGTGTGTTTGCAGTTTTGATTATTATAAAGACTGAGGCTTTATACTTCTCAAACAGCCTAATGTTATACAGAGCCTCCAGGCAACTTCTGCTTTTGATAGTTTCTTGGTTTGAAATCTACCCATTTTCAATGTAACAGAAGTAAGAGCAGGTAATGCAGCTCTAGGAACTATATCTGCATTGACCCATCTTCAAATATTCCCCGTGTTTTACTCTCTTCTCCTTCACTTAAGACACGTTTTATCTCCTGTTTTATTTCCTTCTGAAGGAGAAAGAAATACTGAAACCACTGTCAGTAGGAAGCTGTCAAATGCACAGTCAGCAGGAAGAGTTACAGACCAGATGTCATTTAATTTTTTTGCACGACTAAATTGCAATTCAAAATGTGTGTAATGATGTTTCAGTATCTCATTTTTTTTCCTTTTTTTTTTTTTTTTTAATTTTTTTTGTAGAGTTCTCTTAAGAGAACTGCACTGTGCTTTTGGAAAAGCAAGCATTTCCCAGATCTGAAGCATATGAAGTCTTTGATTCCTCTGTTTTCTGTGAAAGCTGGCATTTGAAACAATATAGGATTAATACAGCTATGCAGCACTTTCTTCATGTTGTTCCATGTGTCTTTCTTCACTGCTACAGTGAACTTAACAGCTGTGTGTGAATGCTGTATTCCGTATTATCAGTAAATGCAACACTGCTGGCATTGCATGGCAGGATTTTCATTATAGGTGAAATGGTGATGGGCTGTCCCTACCTGTGGCAGATCTTTCAGGAGGCTGTGGGTTCTATGGATTTATTGAGCCAGATAAGTAAAGTTTATTTGCAGTGAAACTTGGTGCTAATGAGCCCAAGTGCTACTCTGCCTGGTGGTGGTGGCAATCTGCTCATGGCTGGAAGTTGTGGAGCTTTGCAGTGCCGACTGGCTTCTGCTTTGACACAGGCATATCATCAATCAAATGATACGACAGAAGAGATAAAGGCATATTCCGTCATGGAACAGCCTTGTCAGTATTTGAATTAGCTTGGTAGAAAACTTGGCCTTCAAACACCTCCAAGGTAAGCGTAACTTCAAGTGAAGTGTAAGGAAAAAAATGATCTTGCAAATAAGCTTTGCAATCTTCTTTTGGGTTGGAGGTAAGAGATCAAAATCAGAATATGCCTTAGATAGGTTAGATAGTGGGTTTGCTTTTTTTTTTCTTTTTAAATATACTGCATATTTTCTAGCATCTTGACAGGATTTTGCCCGAATGCCCTGTTTAAATCCAGCACCTGTTTGTGGGTTACAGCAATGAATGTTGGTGTTTTAGAGCTCGTCTGCTATGCTCTCAAAGCATATCCAGTACTCACGTAACAGTGAGCCCTGCAGGAAAACTGAAGTTAGATCTTACAGAGAGCGTAGTTATTCATTGTAGGTGCAGAATATTACCCAAGTTGAAGCAGTAAGTAGAACATATTTTTACCAGTTAGCTTAAAGTTTTCTTTAAATAACAGAACGTTGATTCACAAGCCTTGTTGAGCGAAACAAAATCACATTGCAACTTCAGAGTTTCTAGATTATGAGCTGTATTAAAGAAAGAAAAAAAGAAAAAAAAGAAAACGAAAAGAATGTTCTCATTTGGAGTCCAGTGTTCTTGTCAGCTCCTGTCCTTCCTAAACTCTGCTACCTCTGTTGAAAAGTAAAGCTAAAAACACCTTTGTTTGGAGGTCTGATGAAAAACTGAATTTGAACAAAACAACCTAGCCATGTGGTGTAAAGAATAATTTGAACCAACACAGTTAAATGTATTTTAGAGTAATATCTTCAATATTTTAAAATACCATCAACTTGATGTTAATGCTTCTGTGAGAAAATATTACTTCTTTGCAAAATTACCAGTTTTACCAAAACATAAAATTTGATAATCCTTTCTAAAGCAAAGCACTACATTTCTGCTGCTCGCTCATCTAAAAATTACAGGCAATAGCATACAAAGTTACCAGTGATAAACAGAGAAATTCAAGAATAGCAGAAGTATCATTTTGCTGTATTGAAGATACACACTGCACCACGTAACAGTCTAACATAGAAAGTATGCTATGAAGTATGCCTTGCTGCATATTCCTTTATACTTCGAGTGATCAAATTACACACACAAAATGACCAGGTTCTACATTAACAGTTCTCCATTAGGTGAAATTACATCTCCTGAACCTGCAAATCATAAACATCCTCTCTTTTCATGGCTGCTTTTATACAAAGAAGAGTTTGGGTCTGCAAATTTTATTACACGTGAGGGCTTTTTACAGTGCAAAACCAAAATCTTAGAGAAGGGTATAAAAATAAAAGCGCTTTGATCAAAATTAAGAAAATAGCCTTATTTTAGCTCCTTTAGTATTTCATAATTGTTCAATGAATTTAATTATACATAGTACTACTGCAGTATATATTTTCTGTTCTTTTGTATTTGTACACTGGGCTCTAAACTAAGCCTGGAGTTCAGGCTAGGTAGGCCAAGCTGATACAGATCTATATGCAGCACATTATCTGCCTCTCCTGGACATACAGTTATCTGATGGGTTTCTAAGACACTGATAATACTGGAGTACTTAGAGTAAGATAGAAATAAATCTCTTCTTTGAGTGGACTAACACAGCAACGGAGATGGCTTTCACAAAGATGCTACCTACTGATGACCAGTTTTGTATCTTTTCGTAATACTTCAGACAACAGAAGCTCTTATAATAGTAACTTTTTACAATATGAAGCTATTTCTATTGAAATAGGAAACACAGCCACCACTTCATAAACCATGACTGCACAAAAATACTGAAATGAAAATATCTAGTTTTTGACACGTTATTCATAGGGTGTTTTTAAAGCTGAAGGACACAGCACGAGACCACTACAAAGACTGTGGGATCCTGCTCTCAAACATGGTCTGTACTTATTTCTTGTATAGCCACGTCTGCAGAACTCACCAGCGACAATGAGCCTGACAGCTCTGTCATTAGCACAGCGGATTTGTTAACTCAGCCTTGGTAGCGAGGTCATTGATAAAATGGACTTAGTGATTGATAGAACAACCTCATTGCTTTGCACTAGCTTGTGGGATGGTACGTTGGCCAAGCCTGTGACACAGAAGAGCAGAACCGGAGACCCTGACCTTGTGAGTTGGGTAGGAATGGTTTGATATGTTCCAAACTGAGCAGGATGTTCTAAAGACACTTAGAAGAGCCTCTCCAAACTTTCTGAAAGTTCTTAACCCTTAGCTGAAAGATTTCTTCTTAGGTTCTTTAAAAGCAAACAGAAAACAAAATAGAAATTTGTGAAAATAGAATTATTTGCATACAGCAGTAAGTATTTCTGAAATTAACAAGTTCCTTATTAGGCCTTCTCCTTGCTCCATCCCATTTCCTCCTAGTTTGTTTGTTTGTTTCCACAGTGAACTCTTCTCCCTGGGAACACTTGCACTTTAAAATACTTAAAAAGCAGGTCACTAAGATGAATTGTTGCTGAAGCTATGCAAGCAAAACCAAACCAAACCTGGGAATCCTATTGTATTGTCTGCTGTTGTCGCAGTTCCAAGTTGATGAGAACCATCATCTTAACAGTGATTCTGGTAAAGCAAAGGACATGTGGCCTCTGCAGCACCTCAATTAACAGTGTAATTACAAAACAATTGTTTGAGCTAAGAACCCAAATTAATCCCCACTGTATCTGTAAGGGCTTTGCTGAAATTAAGGTTATTCAGCACACAGTATGATTCAGACTAGGCATTTAATGGGCCAACCAGTATAGAGTGGAGTGTGAAACATCATAAGGGACAACTGCACAATAGAAATAAATGTTATGTATGTACATCGCAGAATCACAGAATTGTAGGGGTTGGAAAGGACCTCCAGAGATCGAGTCCAACCCCATGTCCAGTATAATGTGATTTATCAGTTATTCCTCCAGCACAGGGACAGTATTCATTCATACAAGTCAACAGTCCATAACTGCAATACCCTATATTTAGGGCTAAGCGCTGCCCCTCTAAGGTCTTGAGATCCACATACCAGAGTACAGGAACAGACTAAAAGCATATCAAGGATTTTAATTTTGGATACCCTAAGAATAGAAAGTACTTTGGATACTTGTTTTTAAAATGTAATATTGTTGCATCTCAACTAACTTTGTGTTCTTTAGGAAAGTGAGTTTGTTCTGAAGTACATGAAACTAGTTCATGTTTTGATATTAAGTCAAGAAGGCTCAATACAAAGATATTGTAAAGTGGCAGAGTCGCACAGGGCCAAACCTTACTCTTCTGTCCTTTGTTGGCAAGGAGTAGGTTCTCTAGCCTTCTGCCTGCTCCTCAGTATGGAACATGCAGTCCCAAGCATATCACAAAGGCCAAGGAGGCTCTGCTCTTATCTGCACCTAACAGATGACCAGACAAAAACCAAATTTGTATTGAGTCTTTGCCTCTTGCATGCTGAAGGTCAGAATAATTAAATTGAGGTGCTTCAATGAGACACTGTGATTAGAAAGGGCCTGACCCTGCACCCCATGGCACTGCTGTTCTGCATGCCTCACTCACAGGTCTCCAGCACAGGATTCTCAGCAAGTACGTGGGTAGGGGATAGCAAGGATCAGCAACAAAGTGTTCTCAGCACCTGCACTGGTTATAGCACGATGGGTGAAGAAAATGGTGTGAGTTTACTAAAGGAGAAGGGGACTTCAACTGATTTCTGCTTTGAGGCTCTGTGGGAGCATCTGCAGTTGCTCCCATACTGCATATGGCTGCATGCAGTAACAGCTGTGCTCAGGAGGCATTAGCTCTGCTGCTGCCCTGTTAGATTTGCTGGAGACTTTTAACTTCAGATATAGGTGGTTTTCAGTATGTATTGATTTTTGTTTTAGGAAATGCTAAAATAGGATTCTGTCCTTGACAGCTGCTGACCATTCTCCAACCCCTTAGAAAAAAAATATATTTATATCTGAGAGTTATTTATTTATTAGCTATCTATTCAAGGCTAGCATTTCGTTCAAAGCACAACAGCTGCAATCCTTTCCTGGAGCAACCCAGAAGAATGTGCATGCCCTAGCTTTTTCCCACGACACAGGTAGCACCAGCAGCTAGGATACATGCTCTTGAAAATGCAGGATATAGCTTGAAATGATGAAAATCGCTATGGCTTCTGGTCTGTTTTGTCCTGTGATAGTTATTTTTATTATTCATAGTCACTGCTGACTGCTTCTTTGTCTTCCTGATAATAAACGAGTCATTTCAGTTAAATACTTAGTTACTGCTTGCACAAGTATGGGTTTTTTTCTGTTTATTATATATGTATGCAAAAATAGTCAAAGAATTTATGTGCGTCTTTGAGATATCTCCTGTAGTAACACAGTCAACACTTTGTAAATGAGCTATGATTGTGGTGGTCTGGGACACTGGTATTTGGTGACCAAAGGAATCAGCAGGTGTTGCAGAAACACTTGCTTTGCTCCTTCCCAAGGAAGCTGAATACAAAATTGTCCATCCAGGAAGCAGTTACTTCTACAAAAGTTTTGCCAGAGGCAAGGACCTGCAGATCTATCAAGAGGCAGGAAAATATTGCTGCTTCTTCCTTTAGTAACTTTTAAGATGAAAAATGTGTGGCTGTGTCCAGCAGGTGGCAAGCACAGCACACCGAATCGTGTCTGAGAAAGAGGTACCTCCTCCATTGGGGCTCCTGATGCTGTTCGACTTGTACGCGTATACGTGAACAAAATGTCATACAGATAAATGGCAAGCTCTGATAGTCCTTCATCAGCTTACTGTGTGCTCTGGATGCTATTTATAATGCATGGCACTGCTGCCGTATTTATTTTCAAAGAATGGCTATTTCACACACCTGTGTAAGGATATAAGCTGAAAATAAAGCGCTATATGTGAGAATAACTCAGCTGTCCCTGAACGACACGTTCAGGTATCAGATTTTTTTAAAATAGCTTTCAATTAAATCAACCTTCAATGAAAAAGCATTTTTTAGTGAAGTACAGCTGTAGAGGTTTTACTGAATCATCACAGTGCCTTGTAAATAGGAATTTATAGAAAATCCAGCTGCTTGCTAACTAAGCAACATTAAAGATATCATTCAGAAGATTATAAATACCACAAATTCTCCAGGGTCGTGTATTTGTCTATGTGACAAATATGTGAATTTTTGGAATTTTTTTTTCTTAAGCTTTATTATGTTGGAAAGTATTTACGAGCTCATGTATCTTTGAAGAAAATAAATGGGAGTTAATCAGGCAAATATTTTCTGGAGTTCGTTGTCTGAGATTTATAAGGATATGTGAGGATTTCAGGAGTTGGAACTTCTTATCACCTTTTCCCCTTCATTTGTGGAGAGCTTGAGCCAGATTTTTGTTCTGATTTATGCTAGTATAAAATTAAAAATTGTTAAAATTGTTCCATAAAATAAAATGTGGGTCTACATAGAGCAGATAATCCTGATTCTAGGATCAGTTTCATATAAGTAAACAGCAATGAAGTAAATGCCAAGGACAAAGTTTGGTCCTGCTTATTTAGTGATATGACTAAAAGCATCACAATGCTTTTGTCAGAATCCGAGCTTAAATGTCCAGGAATTTTGAAGAACTGAATGGATCTCGTTAGTTGGTACTTCTCTCAGAGTTATTCTGGTTATTCTACAAAAATAGCTTGAAGGTTTCTACGACTTCTGTTTTCCAACAGTTGCATAAAGCATGGGATTAGCCCACTCCATAAGCTGTGTTCTTCAGTCAGCACAGCACACAATTGAGAAATGTGAGGAAACCCTATTTGTGTGTCTGTCTATATATATATATATATATATGTGTATATATTACGAGTATAAAAATACCCATTGGGATAAAAATGCTTGAAGAAATGTTTGAAATCTCTAATTAGGAATATAAATCTAAAAATATATTTATTCTATATTTAATAAATAAACCTGCATTTTATTGCATATATTATGAAATTTTGCTATTTAAAAATGGAAAATAGTAGCACAAATCAGAATGAGACTAGTTTCATGGTCCTTAAATTTCAGTTTAAGTTGGGCCTGTAGATAAAGTATATGTTAGAGAAACAAGTTATAAATACAATGACAAATGACTCATTAAAAAGAACAACAACAAACAACCTACAACAAAAAAAAACCCACAAACCCAAAACCAAGCAGTGTAGTTCCATCAGGGCCTGAAACAAAACTTGGCAAAACTTGGCTCACATGCGCAAAACAGGTTCTTCATAATTCACGTCACTTACAAAAGCTTTTCCTTTGAGTTCAGAGATGATCTGTAGTTTTGAGTAAATGGCAGAATGCTGACAAACTCTGATGTACCTGTCCTATCATTTATGCTGCTTTCAACGAAGTAAAACAAAATGAAAATCAGGCAGTCCTCCACACAAGGTAAAATAGAAGGCCACTGCTAAATCTTTGCAGTGAGATTTTGCTGAAGTGATTTAATGTTTCTGTAATAAGCAGTAAGCTGTGATGTCTGGGACTGCAGATGGATTTTGTCATTCATGCTGCTTCGTTCACAACCTTGTTCAGGAAAAAAGAATATAGCGAAGTGCATCACTCAGTGTCAAAAGACCCAGCAGTCTTTTTAGTGGGCAAGCGTATATTTTCTGGTGGTCGATACGAGAGGGAGCTCATTTTTGTAGTGAGACTTGGATGTGTGCTGACATTTGGTGGAATGTATTTTATTAGCTGAAGGAAGTATTTTTTAAAGTTTTTTCCAAAGAAAACATAAAAAAAAGGATTCAAACAATTATTAAAGTAAGCGATGCAAATAGTAAAGGGCATAGCTGTATCCACAATATCAGTGATTTTGCAGTCTGTTATTACATGTAATTGAATTAATACATCCAGAAAAGTGAACACTTGATGAGGAATCCAGGAAAAGAAGAAGAAAAACACTATTGCCACAATCATCTTAAAAATGTCATCATTTCTGGTCTTATTTCTTTGAATTTGATATGCCTTCTTCAGGGTCTTCCAAATCAGGGTGTAGCTTGTTAGTATGATAAGAAAAGGGATCAAAAATCCCAGTAAATTCTTGGATAAGCCTAACCCAACCCTCAGTGTTGTGTTATTGTTGTCATATCGAAAGCCACAGACTGTCATGTTCAAGTTCTCCGCAAAAAAGATATTACGATGAATGATGACGGGCAAACTGGCCACACCAGCAAGGAGCCAGATGACAATGCAGGTTACTCTGGCAACAAACGTGGTACGCCGGATTCGTGACTTCACTGGATGTACTATGGCCAGATAGCGGTCGATACTAAGGCATGTGAGTAGGAACACGCTGGCGTACAAATTGAAACTGATTCCTGCTGATGCTAGCTTGCATAAACAGTTGCCAAAAGGCCACTGGTATTCCATGGCCGTGTAGGCTGCCCAGAGTGGCAGAGTTATTAAAAAGCACAAGTCAGCCAGTGCCAGGTTTAGCAGAAAGATGCTGGCCACTGTTTTTAATTTCATGTAGCAGTAAATGACAATAACGACCAGGCTGTTCCCAAATATGCCTATGATGAAGATGATACTGTAAACAGTTGGAACCATAATGTAGATGTAACTGTGCCTTCCTGAAACAGGACAGTCGACGTGAATTCTCTTAACAGTTTCTTCAGTAGAATAGTTTGGGACCATCTTGATCTCTTCTGCTGTGGCCTTGTTTCAGGGAAACAGTGTGAAGATCAAACCTGTGGGGGGGGGAGGAGCAAAAAGAGGAAATAAAAATAGTTCATGAGGGATTTAGGGTGTTTTTTGTTTTTTTAAGTTTCAATTAAATCTCAAGATTTTCTGTTTAACTGGGGATACGAATCATTGTAGCAAATTCCATTTCTTACTCATAAGACATGGAATAGTCAGCAATTAATCTGCTTTTCATTAACTGACTTCTGCCTATGACTTTCAGTTGAAAACTAGGTTGCAGGTACCCCATTATTATTCGCTACTTTTCCTGAAAAACTTAAATGGAAAGCAATGGAAACAGATTTTTCCCCTTTTAATTTTTATTCATAAATATATGGTATTATCTCTCTACTGGTGTTCCTTTGCTTTTCTTTCCATGTGCTTGTCTCATACAGCTAATGCTACTGGTGTTTCATGCTTTTCCTCAATTTTATAATTTCTGGGCCATATCTTGCCCTCATTGTCAGTGAAGTCAGAATTTCCTTCCGAAAACATGAGCGTAGGGTTCTTTTCTGGCTTTGAATAGAAGTAGTAATCAGGTCTGCAATCTGCAAGTTGTGAACATGCAGTTCATTCTCTGCAAAACTTTACCCTGACACCATAGATAGCGGTTGCCTCAAATACAAAGCACTTGTTTGTCTGGAACTCACACTGACTTGAGTGGGAAATTCACAATGTGTGTTTCTCTTCATTTTTTGTTTGGAAGGCAGGCGGATGAAACCAGCAGTTTCTTTTACTTTGCTCTTTGCTGATTTGGAGCAAAAGAGTAGATTATATGTTGCAGCCTTGCTGCTATACCTATAGGAGGGGATTTAATCTGACCCTACAGGGACCTGGAAGTGAGCCATGCAGTATGTAACAGTTTAGCAATAAATAATAATAATTTAACAATGCCCAAATCAACCCAAGAATACTGATTCTCAGCCCACAAAAACTGAAGGGAAAATTCTTTTTCTATAACAGATGTGTCTCGATAATCTTGATCATTACAGCTTCTTGAAAATACTGAGGAAGCAGTGAGCCAACATCTTAAACTGATCAATTTATATCTGCTAAAACAGTCATAGAGTCATTAAGGTTGGAAAGGGCTTCTAAAATCATCTAGTCCAAACATCCACCTACCACCAATACGGCCCCCTAACAACGTCCCTCAGTGCCACATCTCCACGGTTCTTGAACACCTCAAGGGATGGTGGGTGACCCTTCTGTCTCTCTGGGCTGCCTGTGCCAATGCATCACCACTCTTTCTCAAGAGTGAAGAAATTTCTCTTGATATCGAACCCAAACCTTCCCTGGTGCATCTTAAAGCTATTCCCTCTAGTCCTAAAAGTCAAGGAGAGCCAACACAGAAGCATTCAATGCCTTTGAAATAAACAAATGGAGGGGAGGGAAAGAAGGGAGGGTGAGCCATGCTGTCTTTTGGTGTTTTCTCAACTGATTTCTATTTTAAAGTTGACCTTGCAGAATATAGCAGAAACAACAGTGCTAGGAGTTGGTTGTTTGTTGCTAATTTTCATTTACACTAAAAGAATCCAACAGATTTCTTTCAATTTTTTGAACGAGGTTCCAGATTAAAATACAACAATATGTTAATGAGCAAATGTTATAAAAATAATGACCCAAAATGGCAGATAGCTGTACATTCAGAGTCTTTACTTAGATTACTTTTTCCTATAATCAAGCGCTGTATCTCTCAAGCAAAGCTATCTGCATATCTCAGAAACTGTGCTTAAGCACTCTATCATTTTACTGTGTATGTTTAAAAAAAAAAAAGTACAAAGAAAGAAAAGAATTCAGATAAGAGTTATTTTGATCTCTGATGTGAATAGTCTTCTGCTGGACCTTAAATATTTAGAAGCTACCTAGATTCTGTCTGGCTTAGAAGTATGATGCTGAACTATGAATGACTGAAAAAAAAGAAAAAAAATCTCTGAAAATCCAAGCTTGTGCTTCTTTGTTGTTAATTAGTAACCTCAGAAACAGAGTCTAAGGATGTTAGAGAAGTCACAGTTCACATTACTAACTTATGTTAAGTAAAAAGTATTGAAGTAAGAAAAATACTTCTAGACCACATCAATTCTATGGAAACTGTACAAATATGGCACTCGTTTGGTTTGCCAGGGCTTGTGTGTTTTGCAGGACTAATTTCCTTATTAATGATTTATGGCTTTAGCTGTGAGTCTGATACTAAACTTCCAGAGTGAATAAACAGCCAGTCTTCACTTAAAACAAAAAGAAAGAAAGGAAACTTAGAAAAATAAAAATAAAAATCGATAGTTATTATCGCAGAGTAATTTTTATTGCTGTGTGCAGGATCCTGACAGCTGTCAGCCCAACCCAGTCTGTGCTGCTTGAAAACAAGATTAAGTGAAATATACTGGCTTTAAAACAAACAAAAAACCCTGTAATGTCACTTTTGTATAAACAATATATATTCAGAAAGATACTTGCTCTTTCAGTAGTGTGGGCTGTGTTGTTAAGGAGGCAGTTGCTCATTATTTTCATTGCTAGCACTGACGTTCAAGGGTGGGTTGTGTGGGGCCCTGGGCAACCTGATAATGCCTGATTTAATGGGTGGTAACCCAACCCACGGCAGGAGGGTTGGAACTGGATGATCTTTAAGGTTCTTTCAACCCAAGCCATTCCACGTTTCTGGTAAAGGCAGAATGCTACTGTGTTAATGACTGATGCGCTCCAGCTAGGAGACAAATCTTATTCCTAAATAGTTGACTTTTTCATCTTTGTTTTTAACAGGAAAGTGACACACAGGTACACCTCTGCAAAGCCCATACAGGAGGTCTGGGGAAAAGCCATGCACTGAACACAGAATATAGGTTGCAGTCAGTACCTTTTGAGCATGTCTCTCTTCGGCCCTCACTTAATTATGTTTTAATATTCTTTTTTTCCCTCTTAGTGCTCTATTTTAAGGTCTGCATCAGTAAGCTCATTCAGTAAATCAAATGGGGCAATCTCAAGACTTAGGATCTTGATATTTCTGGATATTGGAATATCTAGATAATTCCAGCCAATGACAAACCTTTTGTCAAGATATGTAAATATCTACCAGGCTCTCTGATTTATTCTGTGAATTAGTCTTGATGCTTCAAAATGACACCATCTTTTTCTACCATGCTTAAGATGTTACAAAGTTAAGCAAATACATCTGATGTTACACATATGTACTCCATTTTGATCACATATGGCAATTTGTGCTTATCTTGCTGGCTCTCACTGTGCCATATCTACAGTACCTGGTGTCTGGCTCTGTGGGAGGTCATCCTATTCACAGGACAGGGCGCACCAACACAAAAAGACCTCAAGATAAATCCTCTTATTCAGCCCTTGGTTGTGAAAGTGCTTGACAGTAAATAATAGATTCTGCAACACCGAAGTCTGGCAATATGTACCTTGCCCCACCTACATGCTGGTGCTGTGTGCTCTGTTCACTACCACAGGCAGCAAATGGGGCTTTGAGCAACCTGGTCTAGAGAAAGGAGTCTTTCCTGTAGCAGGGGGGTTGGAACTACATGATTTGAAGGTCCCTTCTAACCCAAATCACTTTTTATCTTATATCCTGTGCTTATTTATCCACTGAGATAGTGGTCAAAAGTCAGCACTATGAAACTGAAGTCAGCATTGCAAATCAGGCCTGCAGTAAAGTATGCAAGGCCCAGTTAAGGTTGAGCAAGACATTTCTCCAAGACTAGATAAATGGTTATAAACACTTTATAAAAGCAGGTGCTTCCACATAGGATGTATTACAGACTACAGAAATAGTGGTTAGTGCAACTTTCTTCTCTTAGAATTCACCACAACAGAATAAACCACTGTCCACTTAAAAGCAAGTACTGAAATTGTGCACACAGATAATTCCATTTAAAGCATCTTAAATGACCTGAGTTAACATAATGATAATTGGATCATTTGAAGGCTGATACACAAGGAGCTTTTTCTACAAAGACTGAATTGAAGTGATTGTGAATGGCTTGGCAGCATCAATCTTAAAGCAAATTATCTGGTGAGCAGCAAACCCCTGTTGTATGTTACTGTCCTGTTTGACCTTTTATCTTTTTTAATTACAATGATTATAATGAGTCACTGATAATGAAATGCTTGAGACTGCTCTACCGACTATTATTTACCACTTCATTCATTGCTTCTGTTGGGTGAACATGCATCCTAATTAAACTGCCTGTCGAAACAACAAGGAATGCTAGGCCCATACAAGGTAAACAGCACTCTGCCTGCTGAAAGATAAGATCACACTGACAGTGGCTTTCTGTGAGAACTTCATCAGCTATAAATAGGTAAGCAGATGTCACAAGTCAGTTTTCAAACAAAAAAAATGTGTTTTTAATATTTGCTTTGATACAAACTAAGCAAACTGACTGAACAACCCTGCCACCGTTAGGAAATGTGGTGGTGCTTTTTTTCCTTCTGATGGTAGGTTATTTACTTTTCTCATAAATGAGATATTACCATGTTGGAGGATGATGCATTCTAATTTTATACAAAATTATTACACAGGGAGAAGAGGCTGCAATATGTTTGGAACAGTATGTTCAGTATTGAACTATCTTTACTTTCTTGTGGTCCAAGCTTTTTCCCTCTATCTGGAGATTTTAGCTCCCACTCCTTTCCTAATTTCTTGTATTCTTTTTCTAATTGCTGAGAAACTAATGATACTTCCCAAATGCTTTATCTCACTGCTTTTTTTTCCTACCCAGCTTTGCAACCCCTTTGTTCACAGTATTTTTTAAATATAAATGTATTTTTTTTTTCACTTCATGTCCTACTTCAGCCCCTTCCTTGCCTTCCTGGAGCTCCTGAGCAGAACCAAGCTTATATTCCACAAATACTTTGCACCAAAAGCAGTAGGAATCCATCCAGAGAAAAGAATTACTGTTTAACAAATATGGATTTAGAAGATAAATGAACATAAGAAACAAATTGAGTGCAGTTCCTGTCTGAGCAAACAGTCTTGCAGAAAACCTATGCTCATGTAATA